ATCCCCTTTTCAGTCAGGACCACTATCTGAACCCACAACCTCTGCTGCATCTGGTAGTAGCTCTTTTTGCTAAGCCACTTTATATGCTGGAGGACAGCATCTTGTCTGAACCCTTGGAAAATCTAGTCTTGTGCCTTGTTTCTGGTGAACCATGAACTCCTTGCTCCTCCCATTAACTTCCTATTTAACCCATACCTTTGCACTTCATGTTTGCCAGATTATTGTGCTCTCTCCAGCTGATATCTTGCTCCTTTCCCTACCTACAGCTGTCCTTATCTCCACTACTACTCATTACCGACTATGCTTCCACTAGTTCCCAACCTGCAACCACCTATTACCAGTCTTTGGCTTGTTTACTGACTATGCTTCTGTTTGATCCCTAACAGCTATATCTGCTAAAGGACCCAGCTTGCTCACCTCCGGGGGGAGGGGGTGTCATGTACCTTCCTACGGTAGCTCTAGCGCTCCACAGACCGGCTTTCCCCAGGGCGCGGAGTCTAAGCCCCAATCTGCTTGTTCACCAGAGCCCCTGATGGTGGGGATGAACTTGGAGCAGACTGAGACCCGGTCACGGCCCCTGAGTACACCCAGCTGTGGTAGAGCGGACCATCTGTGGCACGTAGCAGGATGAGAGCCTGATGTGAAGAGGCAGAGTGGTCCGTGCAGGATGGATGGATGGAGCACACACTGGAACAATAGCGGAGTCAGACAGGCCGGGTCGGTAACGGTGGAGGCAGAGCGGTACACAGCAGCAGGCAGAGGATCGTCAGGTCACAGGCCAGGTTCAGCAGCAGGAGATCAGACAATCAGGAATAGCAGAAGAATGGTCAAATGAGCCAGGGGTCAGGGCAGGAGAAGGTCAGCAATGGTCAGGATCAAGCAGGGTTCGGCAACAACAGTCCTAGTTCCCGCCTGCCTGTATATCTTGTCGGGATCCTACGCATGTGCAGATTTGTGCGCCGCGGCAAAACTTGGAATCCCTGAGGGGGGGGCAATCCTGAGGACTAAGACCTGATACAAAAATGCAGCAAAACCCATCACCTCCATCAGGAGCTTTGGTGAATACTGGTTAGTGCTTAGACCCCAAAACTGGGGTGAGTCCGTATCATTCACCAGGGTGACCTGCTTGTGTACTCATCCAGCTGATCGGTGGTGGCCTCTCTACTGGTATAGCTACTGGTCCCCAAGCCTGACCCCTGACATCTACTCCCCTGATACTACCCCTAGTGCAGGTGGTCAGACACTATAGGTGTCCTTCCTCTATAGCAGCCCCCTTTCCCTAAAGGCAAGCAGGCCTACCGATACTGGGATGCCCCCAGGACTTATACACAATGCTATAGTGCCTGCCCACCACGCTGGGACAGGCGCAAACTGAGCACAGCAAACAGGTACTTGCAGTTGGCAGACAGGCAGAGTGGTTCAATGACAATCCAAGTAAAAGGCAGGCAAGGTTCAGAATAGTAAGGGTCAAGTCCGTAGTCAAAAGGCAGGCAAATTTCAGACAGTAATCGATATCTGATCTGAGGTTGTCGACAATGGAATACAAACTAGCAGAGCAGATCAGACTTGGCTGGCTTAAATCAGGTTTGGTCTTTATACCCAGAGACTGACCACATCAACCACCTTGCAGGAGGACAGACAGACAGGGAGAATGTATCGCAACCAAAACCAGGATGCTGGAATGAGACCAGCAACTGAGATGGAGCAGGATCACTACACGCTCCTGACACCTGAAGAAGCAGGCAGTAGTTCCTTTGAAACACAGAGAAGCATCTATCAAATTCCAGTTATAAAGGATTCCTACGGTTGATTACTTTTTTACCAGAACAGGAGCCCTACCTGTTTTGTGGTCAAAATATAGAAGTGTAAGGGCTGGGCTCCTGCTACTTAACCACTTCAAGTCCAGACACTTTCACCCCCTTCCTGTCCAGGCTAATTTTCAGCTTTCAGTGATATCACACTTTGAATGACAATTGCGCTGTCATGCAACACTGTACCCATATGAATATTTTAGCATTTTTTGAGACAGATAAAGCTTTATTTTCGTGGTATTTATTCACCACTGGGATTTTTTTTTTTTTTGCTATATAAATGAAAAAGTCCAAACATTTTGAAAAAAAAGTGTTTTTCTTATAAAATTCTGCAAATAAATATTTCATCATAAATATTGGCCAAAATTTATTCCGTTATCTTTTTATAAAAAAAAAAAATAACCCAAATTAGTTTATAACCAAAAATTATAATTTTTTAAAAATGTTTTTACATTTTTATTTTTTTATATTATTATTTATGTTTTTTTTTTTTACATACAGTCACCCTAGCAGTACAGTGTCACCATGGTGACACTGTACTACTTGTGGGGGGTGATGAAAATTTTTTTTTTTTTACACTGATTTCTTTTACACCCATAAAGGCAGCCATTGAGAAATATTGTGAGAGCTGTGATTGGTCACAACTTGTCACAAGGTACAAGGCAGTTGTGAATAGCCCTGTACCATGTGACCTCTGTGATCATTCACAGATTTCACACGTAGTAAGTAATGATGTCAGAAGTGACATCATTGCTTACTACTCTTCATGTGATCACTGATTGGCCAATTAGTGATCACATGATCGGGACCTCACACAGAGGTCACATCCGATGATCGGTGTTCCACTTGTCCTGTGCTCCCGCGATGTCCCCTCTGCAGTGTCCCCAGCCATCTCCTCCGGCCGATGCCGGCATCTGTCATCTGGGTTCCGTCCCCTGCGAGCATCGGGACGTACGGGGGCGGAACTGGCGGGAAATTTGAAAATGACAAAAAGTGACATTCACTAAATTCACTAAAATAACATAGTAAAACATTCCTGTATCAAACCATTTCACATACATTTTGTCCCGAGTGCTTTGTCCGGCGCCCTGCCTGCATTTTTACTGTTCTTTCTGCCTGGAAACTGAGAAACGTCCATGGCGTCCAAAAAGCGTCCCTTTAGGTCAAAAGCGGTTTTAGACCGGCTAGAGAACAGCGATAGTAAATCAGAACCACTTGCAGAATTGAGTGATAATGATTCGTGGGGGAAATTCCTCATCAGACACTGAAAACGATTCTGCGACTGAGCTCAGTGATGTGCGAACTTGGCGCTCTATTTCACATTTCAGTGTTTTTGGTTTGATTATATTATTGAATTACATTTATTATTATTATATTATTATTTTTTATGATTATTTATTAAATTATAATTTATGATTTTGTGTTTCAAATTTTATCATACCCGGGATGTTTACTAGACTCTTGTTCGCACAGATTTCAGTGAGTTATTCCTAAAAATTACAGGCCTACAATAGAAAAAATATTTCCATGCAAAAAAAGTACCGCTTTGAGCACAGAAATATGGACATAATCTGACCGATAGGGAGGTTAAATGTCCATCCATTATAGTTTTTTAAAATTTTGTAGACTGTGGATAATGGAAAATTGATTTTTCTACTTTATTCCTTCTAAACAACATGTAATAATAAGTGACAAGAACTCCAAAATAAAAACTTTTGTTATGATCCAATACGATAAAGATGGTATTGCTAATCAGATAAAGAGGAAGAAGCCAGGTCAGCGGGTTCCTGATACGAGACATCTTCATACGTGAAAGACGGGAGCTCGGATTGTTGCCATGGAGACACAGAAGTAGTGTGCGCCGGAGACCTTGCATAATGCAATAATTCAGGGTCTGCGTTCATGGTGAAATGCACCGGGGAAAAATCTACCGCTGTTACCTACAAAACACGTCCTGGAGAAGGACTGAACGTTACAAGGACAACGTATTATGAAACATGGGATGGGTGCAGCTCAACGAAACGCACAAATACTGAACACACAGCAGTCAGGGGGATAAGGACACAACCGAGATACGTACAGTTGTCTCAAAAGTTTACATACTCTGGCAGAAATTGTGAAATTTTGGTATTGATATTAAAAATATGACTGTTCATGCCAAAAAATGCTCTGTTATTGAAGGATGATGGTCATATGAAGCCATTTATTATCAAATAGTTGTTTGGCTCCTTTTTAAATCATAATGATAACAGAAATCACCCAAATGGCCCGGATCAGAAGTCTCTGCCCCCGGATCAGAAGTCTCCTACCCCGGATCAAAAGTTTCCCTCCCCTGGAATGTTTGGCCTTGGTACAGACACACAAAGGTGACACGCACGGGGTAAAATTTTTAATCATGTCCCTGTACAGTATTCCCTGTATGCCTTTAAAGTGCACTTTATAAAGAGTTTTGAACAGATAAGATTTTTTTTTTACTTTTTTCTGACCTCCGGAACGGATTAAATGGTTTTCAATGCATTTACGAATTCATTTTTAATCATGTCCCTGTAGAGTATTTATGCCTTTAAAGTGCACTTTATAAAGAGTTTTGAACAGATTTGACTTTTTCTGACCTCCGAAACGGATTAATTGGTTTTCAATGCATTTACAATTTTTTTTAATCATGTCCCTGTACTGTATTTATGCCCTTAAAGTGCACTTTATAAAGAGTTTTGAACAGATAAAAGACTTTTTTTTACAACTTTTTTCTGACCTCCGGAATGGATAAATTGGTTTTCAATGCATTCCTATGGGAAACCACGTTCCGGTTTACAAATTTTTCACAATACGAAAAGCCCCGCAGAATGCATTAAATTCGTAAACTGAGGTACGCCTGTATTTGCTTTTCTGTTTATTACCACTTTAACAGTGGACAGTGCAGTCTGTAGCCAATCAGGGAAGGGAGAGGAGGAGGGTGGAGCAAGAGAGCGCCTTGCCATCCTGGGCTATGGGTCTGTGTGTTTCTATTGATGTACACATTGCAGGGAAGCACAATCTTAGTCCCTGCATACAAGGGTGACTCCACAGGATGCTGTAAGAGAAAGGAGTCACCTTGGAACAGGAAACCTGGGGCAGCGGTCCTGGCACCAGCTTAAACATATTCAGGGATTAACCACTTCCCATGTAGCCGTTGTATAAAAACGGCCAGACGGTGGCAGTGCAGGGTTGGGTGGCGATTTATATAAATGGCCTCCCTGCCCCCTGCTTGTGCACGCTACCTGGGAGTACCTCTGGACACAGTGGAACACCGATCGTTGTAAGGGACCTCTCTACGAGATCCAGATCATGTGATCACTGATTGGTCAATCAGTGATCACATGCAGAGTAGTAAGCAAGATGTCACTTCTGACATCATTGCTTACTACGTGTGAAATCTGTGAATGATCACAGAGGTCACATGATACAGGGCTATTCACAACAGCCTTGTACCATGTGACAATCTGTGACCAATCAGAGCTCTCACAGTATTTCTCAATGGCTGCAAGAATGCGGCCAGAGAGGAGAAATTATTGCTTTTACAGCCTTTATGGGTGTAAAAGCAATCAGTGTAAAAAAAAAAAAAAAATCTTCATCACCCCCACAAGTAGTACAGTGTCACCATGGTGATACTGTACTGCTAGGGTGACAGTATGTTAAAAAAAAACATAAATAACAATATAAAAAAATAAAATAAAAATGTAAAGAAAAGTTTAAAAATTATAATTTTTGGTTATAAACTAATTTGGGTTATTTTATTTTTTTTAACTAAAAAGATAACGGAATGCATTTTGTCCAAGATTTATGATGAAATATTATTTATTTCCAAAATTTTATAAGAAAAACACTTTTTTACTAAATTTTTGGACTTTTTCATTTACATAGCAAAAAAAATAAAAATCCCAGTGGTGAATAAATACCACCAAAATAAAGCTTTATCTGTCTCAAAAAAAATGCTAAAAAATTAATATGGGTACAGTGTTGCATGACCGCGCAATTGTCATTCAAAGTGTACAGTGCTGAAAGCTGAAAATTGGCCTGGACTGGAAGGGGGTGAAAGTGTCCGGACTGGAAGGGGGGGGGAAGTGTCCGGACTGAAAGGGGGTGAAAGTGTCCGGACTGGAAGGGGGGGGAAAGTGTCCGGACTGGAAGGGGGTGAAAGTGTCCGGACTGAAAGGGGGGGGAAAGTGTCCGGACTGGAAGGGGGTGAAAGTGTCCGGACTGGAAGGGGGGGAAAGTGTCCGGACTGGAAGGGGGGGAAAGTGTCCAGACTGGAAGGGGGGGGAAAGTGTCCGGACTGGAAGGGGGTTAATATATAAAGAAGCTGCATACTCAGTAAGTGATTCAATCAATTGCTGAAAGTGATTAAAAATGAGGGTGTAATTTATTAATAAAAAAAAAAGCGAGACAATGAACGCTCTTTGATCCTCCCTGAGCTCTCAGTTTTTGGGATGGTACCTCTGTTGGATGCAGGAGAAGACATAGTTGGATCAGTCTGGATGCAGGCCAGCGATTCTATATCACTATGTATGACTGTAGGAGGAAAGCAATGCTTCCAGTTCCGAGCGCAGATCTCTTCCCACCTGTTGCTCTATGCCCTCAGTTATTGTAAACCATCTGTCATTGTAGCCACCTGATGTTATATATAACCTGTCATTATTCCACTCTCCTTTATATACCATCTGCCCTTAGGTGACTCCTGCCAGCACACCTACCTGTAATATTGCCTTCTCTCCCCCTCGCCGTCATCTCATCTATACTCTGAATTTTCCTTTAACCACTTCCAGTCCGGACACTTTCCCCTCCTTCCAGTCCGGACACTTTCCCCCCCTTCCAGTCCGGACACTTTCCCCCCCCCTTCCAGTCTGGACACTTTCCCCCCCCTTCCAGTCCGGACACTTTCCCCCCCTTCCAGTCCGGACACTTTCACCCCCTTCCAGTCTGGACACTTTCCCCCCCTTCCAGTCCGGACACTTTCACCCCCTTCCAGTCCAGACACTTTCACCCCCTTCCAGTCCGGACACTTCCCTCCCCCCCCCTTCCAGTCCGGACACTTTCACCCCCTTCCAGTTTGGACACTTTACCCCCTTCCAGTCCAGACACTTTCACCCCCTTCCAGTCCGGACACTTTCCCCCCCCCTTCCAGTCCGGACACTTTCACCCCCCCTTCCAGTCGGACACTTTCACCCCCTTCCAGTCCGGACACTTTCACCCCCCTTCCAGTCCGGACACTTTCACCCCCCTTCCAGTCCAGACACTTTCCCCCCCCTTCCAGTCCAGACACTTTCCCCCCCCTTCCAGTCCGGACACTTCCCCCCCCCTTCCAGTCCGGACACTTTCACCCCCCTTCCAGTCCGGACACTTTCACCCCCCTTCCAGTCCGGACACTTTCACCCCCTTCCAGTCCAGACACTTTCCCCTCCTTCCAGTCCGGACGCTTTCACCCCTTCCAGTCCGGACACTTTCCCCCCCTTCCAGTCCGGACACTTTCACCCCCTTCCAGTCCGGACAATTGAATGACAATTGAGCGGTCATGCAACACTGTACCCATATGAATTTTTTAGAATTTTTTTGAGACAGATAAAGCTTTATTTTGGTGGTATTTATTCACCGCTGGGATTTTTATTTTTTTTGCTATATAAATGAAAAAGTCCAAAAATTTTGAAAAAAAAGTGTTTCTTATAACATTTTGCAAATAAATAATATTTAATCATAAATCTCGGCCAAAATGTATTCAGTTATCTGTTTAGTAAAAAAAAAAAAAATCCAAATTAGTTTATAACCAAAAATTATAATTTGTAACGCACATTTTTTTTTACATTTTTATTTTAATATATTATTGTTTATGTTTTTTTTAAACATACTGTCACTCTAGCAGTACAGTGTCACCATGGTGACACTGTACTACTTGTGGGGGGTGATGAAGATTTTTTTTTTTTTTTACACTGATCGCTTTTACACCAATAAAGGCTGTAATAGCAATCATTTCTCCTTCTCTCTTGCTGCATTCTTGCAGCCATTGAGAAATACTGTGTGAGCTAAGATTGGTCACAGCTTGTCACATGGTACAAGGCTGTTGTGAATAGCCCTGTACCATGTGACCTCTGTGATCATTCACAGATTTCACACGTAGTAAGCAATGATGTCAGAAGTGACATCTTGCTTACTACTCTTCATGTGATCCCTGATTGGCCAATCGGTGATCACATGATCGGGACCTCGCACAGAGGTCCCGTCCGACGATCGGTGTTCCACTGTGTCCGGAGGACACAGCGGGCACCGGATCGCGGTGCTGCGCACTCCCAGGGAGCACGCACAAGCAGGAGGCGGGGAGGCCATTTATAAACGGCCACCCAAACCTGCACTGCCACCATCCAGCCATTTATATACAACGGCCGGATGGGAGGTGGTTAAGGCTGATCTCCAGCAAAGAGCTAGATACAAGTATGAATTACATATGACCCAGGTGTTTTGCCTGCCATTTGCTTTTCTGTCCATCCAGTCCTGAGATGTTAACAGCTGTGCCACACAGGACTGCCAGGCAGCTCAGAAGATCTGTTTTTTCTCTGCTACAGATAAGTCAGACATATAGGTCTTGTCCTTTCCCTTAACCTGTGATTGGTCAGAGGTTAGATGTCCACAGTCTGGTGACTAGCATCATTCAACCCATTTCCTCCAATCTCAGGTCATCCCGGACCAGCCCCCAGCTTCCCAGACCAGCCCCCAGCCTGTGATTGGAGAGTTAAAGAAGAAGCGGCAGACTAATAAACTAATCTGTCTGTCACTCTGCTCTCTCTTCCTATCAGCACGCCCCTTCCCATATGGGTTTTTTTTTTAGTTGATTAATGCAAGGTGTGTAAGTACCTAGTAGTTGACTAATGCAGGCCATAGACGGTTCATTTATCGGCTGATTTTTTGTAAACCGATGTTGCCACCAATGATTGGCCGTTTTTCACGAAATTTCTAGCATGACCGATAAACGAAATGAGGAGGAACCGCGAAAAAAAACGTCCGATGCCATTGCCCCACTAACAGTGCAAAAATCAGATGATTATTCTTTCGGATGAAAAATCGGCCGATAAACGAACCATCTATGGCCTGCATTAGCTATAGCCTTTTCTAATCCCTGAACAACAGGGCTCAGACTAGGAGAGGGAGAAACAGTACAAGGTGCCAATCAGTGCTAGCAACCCTTATGGAAGAAAAATATATCTGAAATATATTTTTAAAATATTCTTTCCAAATATATTGCCCTATATTTGAAATGCTACAATTTTAGCCGTATTCAATATATTTCAAAAATATATCTAATAAATAAATAAATAAATATATATACTGCATGTTGAAATGCGGTTTTTATTACAAAATATATGAATAATATTTTTAAAAATGCACTTCAAATATAATGTATGTCTTTAAAAATACAAATCTACATTTTTGGAATGCATTTACAAATATATGTAAAGATATATGTTAAAATTACTTTTTTAATATGTTAAAAAAAATCTGAAGAATATGTTTTAAAAATATATATTTTTAAAATATTCGTCCCAAATATATTGCCATATATTTGAAATGCTACAATTTTAGCCATATTCAATATATTTCTAAATATATTTCAATAAATAAATATATATTTATAGTATAGTTAATTATAATTAACTAATTCCATACAAAAATCCACAAATGGATTCTTAGTTCTGTATCCCCTAAAAGGGGTGGTACTAGGAGGATGCATAAAGCCTACCCATCATATAAACACTGCTCAAAAAAGTGAAAGGAAGATTTTGTAATCAGAGTCTAGCATCAAGTCAAAGAAACTCCTGGGATATTGATCTGGTCAGGTAAGTAGCAGAGGGGGTTGTTAATCAGTTTCAGCTGCTTTGGTGTTAATGAAATTAACAACAGGTGTAATAGATGGGCAACAATGAGACAACCCCCTAAACAGGAATGGTTTTAAAGGTGAAGGCCACTGACATTTTTTTTCATACTCATCTTTTCTGACTGTTTTTCACTAGTGTTGCATTTGGCTAGGGTCAGTGTCACTACTGGTAGCATGAGGCCATACCTGGACCCTACAGAGGTTGACAGGCAGTCCGACTCCTCCAGATGACACATCAATATGCGCCATTGCCAGAAGGTTTGCTGTGTCTCCCAGCACAGTCTCAAGAGCATGGAGGAGATTCCAGGAGACAGGCAGTTCCTCTAGGAGAGCTGGACAGGGCCGTAGAAGGTCCTTAACCCATCAGCAGGACAGGTATCTGCTCCTTTGTGCAAGGAGGACCAGGATAAGCACTTCCAGAGCCCTAACAAAATGACCTCCAGCAGGCCACTGGTGTGAATGTCTCTGGCCAAACAATCAGAAACAGACTTCATGAGGGTGGCCTGAGGGCCCGACTTCCTCTAGTGGGCCCTGTGCTCACTTCCCGGCACCATAAAACTCGATTGGCATTTGCCATTGAACACCAGAATTGGCAGGTCCACCACTGGCACCCTGTGCTTTTCACAGATGAGAGCAGGTTCACCCTGAGCACATGTGACAGACGTGAAAGGGTCTGGAGAAGCCATGGAGGACGTTCTGCTGCCTGTAACATGGTTCAGCATGACCATTTTGGTGGTGGGTCAGTGATGGTCTGGGGAGGCATATCCATGGAGGGACACACAGACCTCTACAGGCTAGACAATGGCACCCTGACTGCCATTAGGTATCAGGAATAAATCATTGGACCCATTGTCAGACCCTACGCTGGTGCAGTGGGTCCTGGGTTCCTCCTAGTGCAGTGGGTCCTGGGTTCTTCCTGGTGCAGTGGGTCCTGGGTTCCTCCTGGTGCAGTGGGTCCTGGGTTCCTCCTGGTGCAGCGGGTCCTGGGTTCCTCCTGGTGCAGTGGGTCCTGGGTTCCTCCTGGTGCAGTGGGTCCTGGGTTCCTCCTGTTGCAGTGGGTCCTGGGTTCATTCTGGGGCACGACAATGCCCGGCCTCATGTGGGGGGAGTATACAGGCCGTTCCTGGAGGATGAAGGAATTGATACCATTGAATGGCCCCCATGCTCACCTGACCTAAATCCAATAGAACCCCTCTGGGATGTCATGTTTCGGTCCATCCAAAGCTGCCAGGTTGCACCTCAGACTGTCCAGGCGCTCATTGATGCCCTGGTCCAGATCTGGGAGGAAATCCCCCAGGACACCATCCGTGGTCTCATTAGGAACCTCCCCCGACATTGTCAGGCATGCATACAAGCACGTGGGGGCCACACAAACTACTGAGGACCATTCTGAGTTGCTGCAATGACATTTCAGCAAAATGGACTCACCTGCTGCATCATTTCTTCACTTTGATTTTCGGGGTGTCTTTGAATTCAGTCCTCTGTAGGTCGATCATTTCATTTCCATTAAATGATGGGGCATCCTTATGTTCCTCACACATCCCCCGTCCATGTCAGTATAGAGATCCAGCAGGAGATTCCTCCCCATTGAGATCTGATGGGTTTTCAAAGTGTTCTTTTCATTTTTGAGCCGTGTACATGCACAGCCGACAAGAACAGGTTAAGGTAAGTGGGGATGCTAGTGATAGTATTGTCCAAATATGACCATGGTTATATCTGGACAATGATGTCCCCAGCCACCCCCCCCCCCCCCCCTTTGTTTTCTATCAGCTGTTGTCAAGGGAATCTCTTGGTTGACAGCTGAATGGAGCCAGGGATGAGTCACTGGTTGCTATGATGCTGGTGGCCACTGGCTTCGTAGCAACCAGGGAGGAAGCTGTCATGAATATATCATATTCTTATATACACAGGTCAGCACACAACTATCCTTCGATAAAATCACAGATCTTCATATATTCCCACCAGATTCTTCCCATTAAGCCTGCGTTGTATAACATACAATCTTCTCTGTCTCCTCTTTCTTTTATCATCTACTTCACTGCTCCCAATATGGAAGAAGAATACAAACAACAGGTACCAAAATGGCCACCACTGCACTTCCAGTTACGTCTGATGTCACTTCCACTGACGCGTTTCGTCATCAAATGTTATCGAAGGACAGTTGTGCGCTGACCTGTGTATATAAGACTGTTTTTGCCCAGGGGAGTGTTTTCGTTTTCAGATGCACACTGTTGGGACTGTGGGCACTTGTGGCAATTAGAAGATGAATATAGCATAGTATGCCGTACTCTGAGCACTGGCGTCTCTCTGTACGCCCGCTTAGACGTGTCTTACTTACCGCCACTTTTCTAATTTGTGAGCTGGCGGCGGCCATATTGACAGATTCTAAAAGTGGCAGTAGTAAGGTTGCATTCACACTGATCTTTTTCCTCCGTTTTTGTGTTTCTACTTCCCGTCCGGCCCATGTATATAAACGGCGCACGCCATTTTGGACAGTGCGTGTTCCCTGGGAGCACGCGGCACCGCGATCCGGAGGACACAGCGGTACACTGATTGCTCTATGGGACCCGATTATGTGATCACTGATTGGCCAATCAGTGATCACATGAATAGGTGTAAGCAAGATGTCACTTCTGCCATCTTTGCTTACTACATGTGAAATCTGTGAATGATCACAGAGGTCACATGGTACAGGGCTATTCACAACAGCTTTGTACCATGTGACAAGCTGTGACCAATCACAGCTCACTCAGTATTTCTCAATGGCTGCAAGAATGCAGACAGAGAGGAGAAATTATTGCTTTTGCAGCCTTTATGGGTGTAAAAGCAGTCAGTGTAAAAAGAAATAAAAAATCTTCATCACCCCCCACAAGTAGTACAGTGTCACTATGGTGACACTGTACTGCTAGGGTGACAGTATGTTAAAAAAAAACATAAATAATAATATAAAAAAAATTAAATAAAAATGTAAAAAATGTTTTTGAAAAATTATAATTTTTGGTTATAAACTAATTTGAGTTATTTTTTTTTACTAAATACATTTTGGCCAATATTTATGAAGAAAGATTATTTATTTACAACATTTTATAAGAAAAACACTATTTTTCAAAATTTTGGGACTTTTTTCATTTATATAGCAAAAAAAAGTGGTGAATAAATACCACCAAAATAAAGTTTTGGGGGGTTGTAGTACAGTATTCTGGGGGGGTGGTGATGGGGGTTGTAGTACATTATTCTGGGGGGGGGGGGTGATGATGGGGGTTGTAGTACATTATTCTGGGGGGTGATGATGGGGATTGTAGTACATTATTCTGATGAGGGTGATGGGGGGTTGTAGTACATTATTTTGGGGGGTGATGATGGGAGTTGTAGTACATTATTTGGGGGGGTGATGGGGGTTGTAGTACATTATTTTGTGAGGGTGATGGGGGTTGCAGTACATTATTCTTGGGGGGGGGGGTGATGGGGGGTTGTAGTACATTATTCTGGGGTGTGATTATGAGGGGGGTGAACTATGAGGGGGTTTGTGACATAAATGTGCAGATTTGAGTAACTGAGAGGTGACCTGTAGCAATATATAATCCTAAATGTAGTTTCAGTCCTTGTCATTAAAGAAATAAGGTATTCAGAGACAGATGGTCATCAATTAGCATCTGAAGGGACCTAGCTTCCTCTGGAAGTGACACCTGGGTGCTAATAAGATTTTGTCACCTGTACTTAATCAGACTTTGCCATCTTCCTGAAGTTTAAAAGAGAAACGCAGACGTTTCGGCTTCATGACACCAGGGGGGCTCCGAGCTGTCTACGGAGCTCTAAAAGTATATACATACATCAAAGGAGTATGTTTCATCCCTCATAAAAGCTAAAATATTTGTTGCAGAGAGATGAAAATACTTCCTTCTGATGGGGCACTCTGTAGGCTACATCAGCATATAAAAACTATATTTGTGACCTATGTAGAATGCCAGAAAAATGCAGGAAATGGTTATGTGGTGCTGGAGTGCGACAGCAGAACAGTGATCGGTACTGTCGCGATCGGACTGATGCGCTGGTGTCGGAAATTCAATCCCCGATTTGGTGATTCAAGCCAGTCTTGGTCCAATTGACTTTGGGCAGGTCAGCACCCAGAGCAGCCTGTGGGCAGGTACAGGAACACCCCCCAGAGTCGAGTGGCCAAGGACTAATGTCCAGCCTACGTCCATATCCTCATAAATTGAGGACCCTGACATTGGGACATTGTGATTCGTATGGAGCCAGTTCGATTGACTGACGGATTGCTGACTCTCCCTGACTTGCTCCAGTCGCAGGGTAAATCTTGGTAAAAGTTTTATTTCTGTTTTATTCCCTTTTATTTCATAGTGAATAGTCATTTGTGTGTCTTCTTGTATTTTTGTATTTTCTGTAACTTTTTATACTTTGTACATATTTTATGCACTGCCCACTTTCGGGATATTAAATCTTAAAATTAATAAGTGACTTCTGTGTATTTAAGCTCGGGCTGATATCTTCGGAGAGATTAGATTGCTTTGTATTTTAGTGCCTTTATATGCTCAGTCAATCTCATTGCCAATCTGTATGCAATTGCACTGCGTGTTGGCAGATTATGTGCAGATTGTAAAGGTAACAGATCTGCCAGACGGAGATCTGTGTGTGTGGTGTCCCAACAGACCGTTCTGCGGATAAACTGTTGGGTGGTGGCAAGCTACCGTTTGTCGTGTGGGGGTGTGTGGACAGCGGAAGAGTGATTAACACCGGGGTTCTGGCTTGTAGGATAGCTGGAGGGATCCTAAAAGGGTGTGTGATTGCTAAACTGGTCCTCAACGCTAGTTAGTGCATCAGATTGTATATAAGATTTGCATCTGCCAGTGTGTGGTCAGCCATCTGGATTGGAGTGGAGTCTCCCTCCGGTGGTGACCAAGAGGTAATGCAGGCTGTGAAAGTATATCACGGCTGATCTTATATATGTAGATATATTCAAAATTAAGTCCTCATTCCCTCTTACCCCAAGTCACGGCCGCACCTGCGTGCCTCGGTTAACTAGTCGCTGTGGGTGTGGGCATGTGGGTGAATCCGTGACAGTACATTATTCGGGGGTGGGGGTGATGATGGGGGTTGTAGTGCATTATTCTGGGGGGGTTGTAGTACATTATTCTGGGGTGATGATGGGGGTTGTAGTGCATTATTCTGGGCAGTGATGGGGGTTGTAGTACATTATTCTGGGAAGTGATGATGGAAGTTGTCATACATAATTTTTTTTTTGGGGGGGGGGAGTTGTACATTATTCTGGGGGGTGTTATGATGGGGGTTGTAGTACATTATTCTGGGGGGGTGATGATGGGGGTTGTAGTACATTATTCTGGGGGGAGTTGTAGTACAGTATTCTGGGGGGGTGATGGGGGTTGTAGTATATTATTTAGGGGGGGTGATGACCGGGAGTTGTAGTACATTATTCTGGGGGGGGGGGGGTGATGATGGGAGTTGTAGTACATTATTCTGGGGGGTGATGGGGGTTGTAGTACATTATTCTGGGGGGCTGATGGCGATTGTAGTACATTATTCTAAGAGGGTGATGGGGGTTGTAGTACATTAATCTCGGGGGGTGATGGGAGTGTAGTACATTATTCTGGGGGGTGGTGATGAGGGGTTGTAGTATATTATTCTGGGGGGGTGATGGAGATTGTAGTGCATTATTCTGGGAGGTGATGCTTGAACTTGTCGTATATTATTTTTTTTGGGGGGTTGTACATTATTCTGGGGAGTGATGATGAGGTTTGCAGTACATTATTCTGGGGAGTGATGATGGGGGTTGCAGTACATTATTCTGGGGGGTGATGATGGGGGATGTAGTACATTATTATGGGGGGGGGTGATGGGGGGTATAGTACATTATTATGGGGGGTGGTGATGAGGGGTTGTAGTATATTATTCTGGGGGGGTGATGATGGGAGTTGTAGTACATTATTCTGGAGGGGGGTGAAGGGCGTTGTGGGGTGATGGTGGGTTGTAGTACATTATTAGGTGGGGGTGATGATAGCGGTTATAGTACATTTTTCTGGGAAGTGATGATAGGGGGTTGTAGTACATCATTCTGGGGGGTGATTCGGGGTGGTGGTGATGGGGGGTTGTAGTACATTATTCTGGCCAGGTGTGATGGGGGTTGTAGTACATTATTCTGGGGGGGTGATGGAAGTTGTACTACATTATTCGGGGGGGGGGGGGGGGGGGTATGGGGGCTGTAGTTAAATATTCTGAGGGATGATACTGGGAGTTGTAGTACATTATTCTGGGGGGGGTGATGCGGATTGTAGTACATTATTCTGTGTGTGTGTGTGTGGGGGGGGGGGGGGTGTGTGATGGGAGTTGTAGTATATTATTCTGGGGGGGGTGATGATAGGGGATGTAGTACATTACTCAGGGGGGGAGTTTTAGTACATTATGCTGGGGGGGGGGGTGATGGGGGTTGTAGTAGATTTAGGGGGGTGATGACAGGGGTTGTAGTACATTATTTTGTTGGGGCGATGAAGGTATTAGTACATTATTCTGGGGGGGTGATTGGGGTTTTTGTACACTATTCGGGGGGTGGGGTGGTGATGAAGGTTGTACTACATTGTTCTGGGGGGTGATGGGGTTTACAGTACATTTTTTTTTGGGGGGGGGGTGATGGGGGTTGTAGTACAAAAATTTTGAGGGGTTCATGGGGCTTGTGGCACATTATTGTGGGGGGTGATGATGGGAGTTGTACATTATTCTGGGGGGGGGGTTTGATCATGGGTATTGTAGTACATTATTTGAAAAGTGATGATGATGGGTCTGTAGTACATTATTGGGGGAGTGATGGGTGTTTTAGTATATTATTCTGGGAGGGATGATGGGGGTTGTAGTACATTATTTTGGGGGTGATGATGGGGGGAATGTAGTACATTATTCTGATAGGTGATGATGGGGGTTGTAGTACATTATTCTGGAGGGGTGATGGGGATTGTAGTACATTATTCTGGGGGGTGGGTAATAGGGGTTGTGGTACATTATTCGTGTGGGGGGGGGGGGGGGGTGTTTGATCATGGGGGTTGTAGTACATTGTGGGGGATGATGGGAGTTGTAGTAATACTTATGGGGGTGATGATGGGAGTTGTAGTACATTATTTGTGGCGGGGTTGATCATAGGGGTTGTAGTACATTAGTCGGGGGTGATGGGAGTTGTAGTACATTATTCTGGGGGTGATTGTGGGAGTTTTAGTACATTATTCTAAGAGGTGATGATGGGGGTTGTAGTACATTATTCCCAGGGGGGGTTGATCATGGGGGTTGTAGTACATTATTTGGAAAGTGATGATGATGGGGGGTTGCAGTACATTTTTTTTTTTTGGGGGGGGGGGGGGGGGTGATGATGGGGATTTTAAGTACATTATGCTGGGGGGGGGGGGGTGACGGGGGTTGTAGTACAGTATTCTGGGGTGGTTGTGATGGGGGTTGTAGTACATTATTCGGGGGGGTGATGGGAGTTGTAGCACATTATTCGGGGGGGGGGGGGGGGGTTGTAGTACATTATTCTGTGATATGATGATGGGGGTTGTAGTACATCCGGGGGGTTGTAGCACATTATTCTGGGATATGATGATGGGGGTTGTAGTACATTCGGGGGGTGATGATGGCGGTTGTAGTACATTATTCTTAGAGGTGGGGGTTGTAGTACATTAT